TTCTTATCTGTAGCAGTGTGCATGCTCTGGTCTAATCCAATTTGTAAGGTAGAATTGAGGACATGATAGTGGGGGGAAGGAAGCACCAAAAAACACTGACCTTCTACTTTACCAAGTTGATGTTCCTTTCCAAGGATTGCTTTCTCCTAATTACATGTCCAAAGTACTTGAGATGAAGTCTTACCATCTTCACTTCGAAGGAACATTATGACTGAACTACTTCCAAGACAGATTTGGTTGGTCTTCTAGCAGTCTGTCAGAGAAAACCAGCCTCTAACAACTGAAGGGTCTGTAGGCACAACTGTACAGCGATAATACATAAAGATTACAGTAAAGTCATAGAAGATAGGAGAGAGAGTAAAATAAAGGAGTCAGACACATTTTATGGTAGCGTGCTCACATCAGCCCCTCTTGATGGTCCACGTGGAGGTGGGAGAAGAGAGAGAGGAGAGAGTGTTTTTACTAACTTGGGATATTTATAGGTAGCCTTAAGACATGCATATTCAAGAGTTACATGTCACAAGGTGGGTGGAATGTACAGTAAAGTCTCTAAGCTCACAGATGAGGAAACCTAACACCTGCACTAGGGAAGGTAGGAGCGGGGCTGGGTGACACAGCAGGAGGAGATAGCAAATGGATGTCTGCTGCTGTAGGGAGGTAAAATCAATCATGTGTTCACTTTAAGGCAGCATAGCTGTTAAGGGAGAATCTGTGGGAGTGATATTTAAAGCAGGATAATGTACTTGGACTTTACCTCTAACAGCAAAGTGATGTTTTTCCTACCGTGGACTACTAGCTTTCCAGATTCCCTCTGTTATAAATTAGGGAATATAATCCTCATCATAGTTCCCTCCATGTGAGTTTCCCATAACAGTCCATGGTACTTTCTATTCCCATGTGTGGGGTACCAGCCTCCACAATCCCATGGGCCCAAGGGGCGGTTGTGTATTTGGGGGTAAAATTAAACAGACATCAGACAAGATAAGGTATGCTACCACTAGGAGAGCCATGATCTCAGCAGCCAGATCCATGCAGAGAGAACGAATATATTTCCAATCAAGGTTTATATACATTCAGGGGCCATGCAAGCCCCTCTAATTACAGGTAACCACATGCATAACAGGAAGAGGTTGTACAGTAGGCACACGTGCAACAGGAGGGGGACAAGCTGGAGGTGTACATGCAATAGGAAGGGGAGGTACTAGGGATACACATGTGACAAGATGGGTGGACTCTAGAAAAGATGGCAGCCTAAATTTGGTCCTCCCTGAGTTGGCTTGACCTTGCCTTTTGGCTCTCCTTCAGGGGAACAATCCATTATCCTTATCAGAAGGGAGTTGGCCCTACTTAGGGTAACAGAATATAGGGTCTGATTGGTCTAGATGACTGATAACCCTTGGGGAGATAACCTTCAAGCAGTTGACCTCCAAGTGTATGATCATTGACCATGTATTAGCAAGCAGCACCTTAAGTTTGGAATAAATATGGGGGGACAACCTGGGGAGTAACCTGTTTCCCACGCCCATGAAGAGTTACAACCTCAGAAATCCACAAGGGCAATCCTACTCTATTTACAGGACTGCCACAAATTGGCATCAACTCAACGGCAGCATGTGAGAACCCTAATTTTTAAAAAAAATAACTTTATTGGGGGCTCGTACAATTCTTATCACAATCCACACATACATCCATTGTGTCAAGCACATATGTGCATTTGTTGCCATCATCATTCTCAAAACATTTGCCTTCTACTTGAGCCCTTACTATCGGCTCCTCATTTTTCCACCTCCCTCCCCCCCTCCCCCTCCCTCATGAACCCTTCATAATTCATAAATTATTATTATTTTGTCATATTATTTTGCCATGTTACACTGTCCTACATCTCCCCCCGCCCTGTTCTCTGCTGTCCATATCCCAGGGAGGAGGCTATACATAGATTCTTGTAATCGGTTCCCCCTTTCCACCCCACATTCCCTCCACCCTCCAGGCATCGCTACTCTCACCACTGGTCCTGGAGGGGTCATCTGTCCTGGATTCCCTGTGTTTCTAGTTGACATCTGTACCAGTGTACATCCTCTGGTCTAGCCAGATTTGTAAGGTAGAATTGGGATCATGATAGTGGGGGGGAGGAAGCATTTAAGAACTAGAGGAAAGTTATATGTTTCATCATTGCTACCCTGCACCCTGACTGGCTCATCTCCTCCCCACAACTCTTCAGTAAAGGGTGTCCAGTTGCCTACCGATGGCTTTGAGTCTCCACTCTGCACTCACCCTCATTTACAATAATATGATTTTTCTGGAGAACCCTAATTTAAATGCATAAGTTCTTCAGTCTTCTTTATCCATTGTCTAACTTGCACATGCGTATGTGTTGATTGAAAATACTATGGTTTGGGTTAGGTGCACGCTCCTGTTCAAACTGGCATCCTTGCTCTTGAACGCGTTGCAGAGGTCTGGTGCAGCAGATTGACACAGTGTGTAGTCTGATAGCTTGGCTGCTGCTTCCCTAAGCATTGGTTGTGGGTCCTAGCACAATCCTTCACAACTTCAATCGTTTCTCCATTTATCATGCTGTTACTTATTGATCCAGTGGTGAGGATTTGGGCCTTGTTTCCAATGAGTTGTAACCCATACTGAAGGCTGCAGTCCTTGCTCTTCATCAGTAAATTCTTCAAGTCCCTGACATCCAGTAAGCAAGGTTGTCATCTGCATATCACATGTTGTCAGTAAGCTTTCCTCCAATCCTGATGCCCCGTTTTGCTTTAGATAGTCCAGCTTCTCTGATTATTTCCTCAGCATACAGATTGAATAAGAACTGTGAGAGGCTACAACCCTGATACACACCTGTCCTCACCCTAACCATGCAGTACTCCCTTCTTCCGTTAAAATGACTGCCTCTTCATCCATGTATATGTTGCGCATGAGCACAATGGAGTGTTCTGGAATTTCCATTTTTCTCAATGCTACCCCGAGTTTGTTATGATTCACATAATTGAATGCTTCAGCCTAGTCAATAAAACACAAGTGAATGTTAGATTCCTCGGGTGGGAAATACCTCGGTCCTTGGCTTCACATGAGAAAGAATTCACTCCAAAGCCTGGTTTGTGATCCAAGTGAGTTTTTTATAAAGGACAGAAGAAGTTTCAGGTTTTACACAGGTACCCTCGGGGCACTTTACACCCACACGTGGAAACCTGAGGCCAGAGAAAATCCTCAGCAGGGCCACGGAGCAGCTCGGAAAGGGGGCTGGGCTCCTGCTTCTGCCTTTCAGGGCCCTCCCCTGGGAGGTGTGGTCGATGGTACTGTTTGACCCTATTGGCTGTATTAAGCTCACCTGGCCTAGATTGGGGTCCTCCCAGGTGTACTGGCTTCCTGTCTCAAAGGTCTGAATTTGTGCATGCCCTCTGGCCTTTATGGCTTGCTGGGCTCGCCTGATTCTCTGCAGCAACCTCCTGTAGGGGCGCCTGGGCATAGAGGGGGACAACTCCCTATCTGGCTACTAACATAAGCATCTTTCTGGTATTCTCTGCATTCAGCCAATATTTAACTGGCATCAGCAGTAATATTCCTTGTTCTACCTCCTCTTCTGAATATGGCTTAAGTTTCTGCCAGCTCCCTGTGAAATGCTGACGGCTCCCTGCAATCATTGTTGAGTGATCTTCAGAAAAATTTAACTGCATGTGATTTTAACGATATTATTTGATAATAAAACGTGATCTTTTGGATCACGTTTCTTTGCAGTGGGCACACACATGGATCTCTTCCAGTCAGTTGGCCAGGTAAACTCTTCCAGATTTTTTTAGAGTAGGTGCGTGGGTGCTTCCAGTTCTTCAGGAGCTTATCGAAACATTGGATCGGTATTCTGCCAGTTCCTGCAGCCTTGCTTTTAATGAATGCCTTCAGCCCAGGTTGGACTTACTTCTTCAGTTCCGGTGTTTCTTGGTCACATGCTGCTTCTTGAAATGGTTGAATGTCAACTAGTGCTTTTTGGTACAATGACTGCATTCCTTCCACCGTCTTTTGATATTTCCTGAGTCTTTCGATAATTTGCTTAGAGACTCCTTCAAGCCTTGAATTTTTCCTTCCGTTCATGCAGCCTGAGATATGCTGAGAATGCTCTTCCTGTTTTGGTCTGCAAACTCCATGTCTTTGTACATTTCATTAGTACTTGACTTTGTGTTCGCCAGGTGCCCTTTGAAATGTTCTGTTGAGCTCTTTGCGTTCCTCCTTTCTTCCATGCACCGTGGCTACGCTATGATCAAGAGCAAGTTTTGGTGCCTTTCTAACATCCACTTTGATCGTTTCTTTCCTTCCTGTGTTATCAGTGACCTTTTGCTTTCTTTATATCTGTTGTTCTTGATGTCATCTAGTTCCCTCCGGTCATTAGTATTCAATGAGTCAAATCTGTTCTTGAGATGTTCACGAAATTCAGGGGGCATACACGTATAGTGGTGTTTTTGGCTCTCGTGGATTTGCCTTCATTTACTTCCACTTCAACTTGAGCCTTCGTGTGAGCAATTGATGGTCTGTTCCATGGTCAGCCCTGGCCTAGTTTTGGCTGCTAGTTTTTTCATCATCTCCATCATCCCTTCAAACAGATGCTTGATTTCCGTGTGTCCCATCTGGGAAGTCTCCGTGTATAGTCACTGTTGGTGTTGATGAGAACATAGTTTGCAATGAATTTCTCATCTGTAGAATGGAGAAAACAGTAGTATTTCCCTGCCTCACAATATGTTAGAAGGTAAACTATGTGTAGAGTGTTTGAAGCTGAGCTTAACACAGACCAAATGTGGTATAATTCTGGGTGGTTATCCTCTTATTATTGTCTGTGTGATGGATGAATGACCCCCACCCCTCACCCTCCACGATCAAATGGAGAGCCCAGAGTGGGCGGCGACCGTGTTGTTCATCTTGTGCCCCTGGAGACTCGCACATGGCAAGCGTTCGTCAGTGCTGGATGAACGAACCCCTGAATGTGTGAAGAGCTGTGTCATCCGCAGGCATCCATCATGACGGGCTCTGTGCGTCATGACGTGGCTCTCAAGAGCAGGCTGAGCCCCGGGCCCTGGCGGAGGAGCCGGGAGGTCCGCCCTCCCCCAGAAGAGATGCAGGAGCTGCTGCTGCCAATGCCGTTGGAGATGCACAAGGTGGGTGCTGTGCCTGTGTCTTGGCAGCATCAGGAGCTCCCAGGTGTTTCCAGAGGGGTTCGTGTCCCTCTCCTGGTTTTGCTTTCCTTGGCCATAAAATAGGGACTTGGTCTGACCTTCCCGAAATGCCCATCATTTGGGTGTTAGACACACACACATATACATGCATGTGAACATTGTTGCTCGGTGCCACTGAGTGACCTTGTATGACAAAACAGGATAGCCTCCTGGAGTCTCCTAGGCTGTCATCATTATAGGGCAGATCACCAGGTCTTTCTCCCTCAGCGCTGCTGGTGGGTTCAATTGCCAAGCTTCTATTTATCAGCAGAGTGCTTTAAGTGCCAGGGTTCTTTAGCACACACACACACATGCACACATACATGCATGTGCGTCTATATACTTACACTCACGCACACATGTATATACATAGAGATACACACATACAGATACACGTTCCAAACCCAAAACAAACTCCCATCAAGTTGGTTCCAACTCGTAGCGACTATGCATCTTCATGGGAACTGGTCATCTCATCTTTCCCGAGGCCTGGCTGGTCAGTTTGAACTACGAATCTTGCAATTAACAGCCTGATGAGTTTGAACTACGAATCTTGCAATTAGCAGCCCGAGGTGTAACCCACACTGCCACCAGAGCTCCTTAGATAGACATGTATGCACACACACATAGATACACCTACAACCCACATGAACATGTAGATCGGTGGCTCTCAACTTTCCTCATGCCTCGACCCTTTAATACAGTTTCTCATGTGGTGGTGACCCCCTAACCTTAAAATTATTTTTGTTGCTACTTCATCACTGTCATTTTGCTACTGTTATGAATTGGCCACCCCTGTGAAAGGGGTCGAGACAGACAGGTTGAGAACCTCTGATGTAGATAGGCATAATGTGCACACATACGAGTACACACACACACACACACCAGGCTTGATGTTGCTAAGCTGACTCATTGTTTCCTCCCTCATGTGATCATAGGTTAAGTTAAAAAACACAAAATCTTTTACATTGCTATCTTAAATGAGGAGCCAATGTCTTTTACCATCAATAAATAAGTTACTAAGTAGAAAAGAAAAAAGAAAACAGGAGAAAAAAATTCTGGCCCAATTTAATGTTCCCCAGAAGCCTCTTGGTTCAAATGGGCGATGAGCATGTGTTCGGCGGTGTAGAAATCACACAAGTGCCCGACAAGACTGGCTCCTTGGTGAAAACAAGGGCTGCAGGGAAAGACCCTCCTAAGGGACTCTGACAAGGACCCCAAACCTGGTACTGAGGCAATATAGTGTGGAGGGTACAGCTGCTCAAATGGGTTGGGGGCTGGGTTCCCAGTCAGGACTGTGGGCTACTGTGGGGCGTGGAGGTGCCAGTCAGAGTTCCAGGGTCCTCTGTTCTTCTGCTGCTAGGTGACCTTGCACAAGGACCCCACGAGGAATGATTTTGGGTTCAGCGTCTCAGACGGCCTCCTGGAGAAGGGTGTCTATGTTCACACTGTGCGACCTGATGGACCAGCCCAGCGTGGGGGCCTCCGGCCCTTTGACAGGGTCCTCCAGGTGATGCTGGGCAGGGCTGGGCTGGGCCACAGAGCGAGTTCAAGGGATGTTAGGACTGATTGTCAGAGAGCTGAAGGACAGAAGCTGTCAGGAGTACTTATGACTGTAGGGGGCTATCTTGGGCTAAGCAGAGAGGCTGGGTGCACTTGGCAGGTATGTTAGTCTGGGTAGACTAGAGAAACACGCATCCATAAACACGCATAAACACACGTGTATTAGAGAGAGTTTTATATAAAGGGTAATTATACATTAAGAAAGCATCTCAACCCAGTCCAGCCCAAGCCCATAAGTCCGATATTAGCCCCTATGTCCAATACCAATCTATAAAGTCCTCTTCAGACTCATGAAATACATGCAATGACGTTGAATGCAGGACAATCACAGGTCAGTGGGTAGAAAGTCTTCTGGCTCCAGCGGTGGTGTAAGCATCTCAGCGCTGGCAGGAGTCTCCATGTGGCTTCTCCAGTTCTCAGGTCATGGGGGTCTATCAGCATAGTGCCATGTGTCTAGTCAGTAGAATGTTTCCAAGAGAGTGAATTTTGGAATTCCCGGAATTCTCAGGAGAAGGCCATGCCCACACAGAGCCCTCATTGGATGTGACCTGATTGACAGACTAGACCCCACCCCTTCACTCTTAATCCTCTCAAGTCCCAAATTGACACTAGGTATGTCAAGCAGTGAGGTTCTACTTGCTCAGTGCCTAAAAATCTGCTTATACAGGCTATTTTTTAAAACCACTGAATATGTACAAACTTGAGTTTGGCATCAGCTTGCTTTGGGGGCTTCCGCTTGCTATAAACAATTTGGGGTCAATACCCTAAGACTCTCTTGGATACATTTATAGAATGGGCCGTGTTTTCTAGCTATAGGGTTGGGAAAGAGCCCCTCTTTGGGCCCAACTGGGTGGTCTTGGGAGGTTACTTCTCTCTCAGCTTCCTCATCTATCAAAAAGGGATTGATCACAGGAGTTGATCGCTCAGAGCGGGCCGTTATGTTGCAGTCACAAACACCCCCAAGTCTCCGTGGCTTGGCACACACTGAGTGGGACGCATTGCTTATGCAGCATATCCATTGTGTGCTGGTGCAGGCCTGGCTCCTCTTCGTCCAGCCTCCTAGTCTAAACAATGCGGCCTTCTCAGTCTGCACAGCAAGCGGAGACTCGAAAATGGCACCTGGGGTTTCCTGGCCTTCCCCTAGAACAGCGGTTCTCCACCCGTGGGTCATGACCCCTTTGGGGGTCGAATGACCTTTTCACAGGGGTTGCCCGATTCATAATAGTAGCAAAATTACAGTGTTGAAGTAGCAATGAAAATTCTATGGTGGGTGGGGGGGTGGTGGTCACCACAGGAGGAACTGTATTACAGAGTCACGGCATTAGGAAGGTTGAGGACTACTGCCCTAGAACAAACATCATTACTTCCCTTTGTGGTCAGAAGGTCACGGTGTCAGGCCGCCTGCCTAAGAGCGAGGGGGCCTGGGAGATGGAGGTGAGCAGGGGCAAAGCTAGGAGCTGCTTTGGGGTCCGTCACCTGGACCAGTCTCCCCCACCCTCCAGCTATTCTTGTGACCTGGATGTGACTGTCACCTTATTTGCACTATTAAAACCCTTGCCATGTTGGTGCCCATTCCTGGTGACCCATGGACGTCAGAGTCAAATTGTGCTCCCTGGAGTTCTCACTGGTAGGTTTTCTTTTTTTGAAAATAGATCACAAAGGCTTTCTTCCAGACTGCTCTGGGTAGAATCAAACCTCTAGCCTTTTGATTAGCACCACCCAGGGATAACAATGACTTAGGGTATGTTTTCTCTGATGATAAGAGATGAAAATCTAGCACCCATTGCTTGACACCAAAGGTCTCTACCAAGTACACATAGGCGAGGGCTTCAAAAGTTGGTGTAAAAATTCCATCATCTTTTTAAAAAATGTCCCATCATCTTTTAATTCCACTCTTTCACGAACTGTTCAAAGACCCTTGCTTCCTCCATGGACACAAAGCAATGGCAGTCCTGGAGCTAAGTGCTGTGCATTACGAGATGGGTGAAGGGGTGCTGGCTCCTGCTAGGACTGGGAAAGGTGTTTAGTGAAGAATGACTTCCTCCATTGGCGTGTGTTGGGATTTGCCCTTGGGTCCAGGTAGAAGTGGGGCTGGCTGTCTCAAGTTTTAGCTGACTCCGTTCTGTCTCCTGGTTTATACCTTCTGCAGGTCAACCACGTCCGCACACGGGACTTTGACTGCTGCCTGGCGGTGCCACTCCTGGCCCAGGCGGGTGACATCCTGGAGCTGGTAGTCAGCCGAAACCCACTGGCTCAGGCCAGCCGGGCCCCACGCACACCAGGCCCTCGCAGTCCCCGTATGCTCTGAAGTCAGCTTGCAGTCTGACCCAAGTGGTGGATGGATCCTGGCTCCCGGACCTGTAACCTGTTGGAACTCCTGTGTTTCTCTGCTCACAGGCTCAATGTCAGGGATGGGACCGTGTCTCTATTCCATGGTTCGATGGGGCCTGGGTGCCAGGCATGGGACTCTGTGCCCCTGGGGGGGTGACATATGGATCTTTTGTCAAGCTGGGTCTCCAATGTGCCCAGAAGAGCCCCTCCTGGGAAGGTGAGAACGTTGGGGACAGGCTGCTCAGCCATAAGTCCCCGCTGGGCCTCTGTTTGAGGGTCACATGCTCGGGAATGCCGAGTGGGGATTGCCGTTTCCCAGCCCAAGCCATGGAGCCGGAAGGAGCTGCCGGGAGCATGAGCTACCTTCAGGAAGGGGAGTTCCCTGTACCTCGAGAGGGGAGCAAGTGGGAGCTGGTAGGACCATGGACATCCCGTAGATGCAGCCATATGGGCGCAGCTCTGTACCGATCAGCACCAGGGGAGCATTCAAGGTGAGGTTGGGCAGCCACATTCGACAGTGTATGCCACCAGGGAGGGTGTTCCTCTGGGTGGGAGCTCAGCCCTTCCCAAGCTCCAGAGCGCTGGTGCTGGGGGACTGCATCCTCACTCAGGAAACTGTGAGCTGGAAACGCTGTGATCCCAGGATGCTCTGGTCCTGGTCTCAGAAAGCCGGTGATGCCGTCACTCGAGTGTCTCTGGTCCGAAGCTTCTGTGATTCGAGACTCTGGTTCTGTGTTCGCTGGCCAGCTCAGGGTCCAGCTCCTGGCTCTCAGCCCCTCTAGCCTCATTTTTTAAGGGCCCAGGGTCACTGGTCCATCTGCACACCCCCCTTTTCATCCCAAGCCCCTCAATGCAGGAGGGCCAAGAGGCCTGCCATTTCAGTGGAGCTTGGAAACCATGGAGCTATGATGCATGTATGACACACACCTACATCATCATGCAGTGCCTCTTCAAAACCCACCTCAGTGAGAGAGGCGAGAGGAAGGGACCCGCCGAGGTGGAGCGCAAGAGAGGCAGGCTGGCAGAGATGGGGCGTGTTCTCCCACCCAAAGGCCTGTGCCCAGCCGCTGCCCAGGGGCCCCTCACCCGCAGGGCTCCCCTGTGTGTGTGTCAGGGTAGAATGATGCTCACAGGATTTTCCAGGGCTGCCTTCGCACAAGTTGATCCCTGGCCTTTTATCTGAGGTGCCCTGGGGTGATCTGAGGCAAGTGGCCCAGTCTCTCTGGACTCCGATGAAGTAGCAGAGCTGGCCGCCACACTCCAGGTGACAGATGATGATGCATCCTGGCCCTGACTAGTGCCCCACCCCACCCCCACTTCCACCCCTAGGGCCCCAGGTCTCCGCCATCCTCCCAGACGTACGCAGCCAGGCCTGTGGTGGGCCTCCTCACCACCCTGGACTTCCTCATATGCAATATTTCTCTGGCTTCTCGTGGGGCTTGTTCCCAACTCCTTCTGGAGCGCCCCTCCCCTGTGAGCCTCCTCCCGCCTGCCTATGCATTTGGGGTACAGCCCCTGTGACATGCCCCCAGCCCCCCCCTCCCCCAAAGCTGTATTTTTTTCTCTAGCTGAGATGAGTGCATATTCCTTGTAAAGTATTTTTCTACATGGGATTTTCTTAGGGCTTTTGGGAAGCACAACATGGCCAGGGACAGCATTGCCAAGGTCATTTGGGGTCTGTCTAGGGAGGGTGGCGGGGGGCGTGTAAATCCCGACTTAACCAGGGTTGCAGTGACCTGGGAGTTGGGTAGAGGCTATTAGGATAATTTTTTTTTAATAATAAAATGATTTAAAATGCACCTGGAGTGGAAATCTTTTTTTTTTTTTTTTGAACCAGGGGCTTTGCAAGAAACGGCTACTGCTTAGGAGCACCAGGTAGAGAATCCTCTGACTTGTCACCTGCTTTTGATTCACTCAAAAACCCTACTGGGCACCAAGCATCATTCTGGCCCCTGGACTGCGAAGGAAGAAGAGACCGTCAGGCCACGTCTGCCTGGACTTGGGTTCCCGTGAGACACAGACAAGGGTCAGGGATCAAGTGACGGACTGGGGAGGAAGTGGGCTTCAGCACATGGAGTCAGGAAGGGCGTCTCTGAAGGGTGACACTGTATGGTGAGAGCTGAAGACCTGGAGGGAGAGGACTCCAGACAGAGGGAATAGCACATCCAAAGGCCCCGAGACGGGATGCGCTTGGAGGGCTGGAGGAAGAGAAGGGAGACCTGGAAGGAGCTGGAAGGTCGCAGGGACCCCGTCTTGATGCCTGCACGGAGCAAGGCTTTCACCGTGCATGCGGGGAGGCCACGGAGGCAGGTGTGTGGGGCTCTGCTGTCAGAAACCCATCCGCCTGGTTGGAGAAGAAAGAGTTGGGAGGAGAGACCTTGGGCCTGAGGGGCTGCTCCCAAGTCTCCACAGGGCAGGGTGAGCTGGGGGATCTTGGAGTTGTCCTGGGGGATTTGCAGCCCTGTGTGGGTGGGAGAACTTCCCAACAGTTGTGCAGGATGAGAGCGGGTGCCCAGTCTCAGGGGGGTGTTAGCAGGCGTTGGGCAACTGACATGACTTTTTTTTAAAAAACAAAATGCCTGAAGAGGGACTTATGGACTGGCATCAGACTTACAGACGAGTGGAGCTGAGCTGGAACGCCTTCTTGATCTATGTAATTATTTCTTGAGGTGCTTTCTTTGAAGATAAGCTTACTTGTCGATAGGAATTTCCTTCTTATACATCAAACAAACATACATACAAACGTAGTAACAGAAGCCAATGGCCAGTAACAGCAACTCTGACTCGTGTGCCAGAGAACTGTGCTCCCGGTTCTCTGGGGGTAGAGCACCACGTCTTTCTTCCAAGGCACCCCTGAATGTACTCGAGCTGACCACCTGTGTGAGCAGCCGAGTGCGAGGGCCATGTGCAGCCCCCCAGGGATTCTGTGCTGCGTATCTCTCTGACTGGGGCAGAGGGGCACACCACAGAGGCCTCCGTGTTGTGTACAGAGCAGGTGCGGGTTCAGGGGCACTCCTGGGACGAGGAGGAAGGTGGGCAGGTGAGAATTGGGTACACTGAGTGAGGGATTGCCCAGGACACAGCAGCCAACTCACAGCACTGCTCTGAGCACCCTGATGAACTTACTGGATCCCCTCCAAGAGCCTCAGAGGTAGGGTCTGCGTTCATTGCTGTTACAGATGAAGAAATGAGCTACCTGTCACTTGCCCTGCTCTGGATTCCGCTGTCCCTGAAATGTTGCTGACACCTCAGAGTCCCACTATTCTATCCTCAACCAGGAAATTGTAAGACATATCCATGTTTCATATCTCTGTTCAGTTCTGATCACAGCTGCCCGACCCTAGCCACTTGAGGTCAGCCAGAGCTCACAAGACAAAACTCAAGGTCATGGATCCCTTCAGACTACATAAGGTGACTGAGACTATGAATCCTTATGGGAGGCAGACAGCCCTCTCTTTCTCCCACAGATTGGTTGGTGGGTTTGAACAGGCAACAATAGCCGCTCATAGCACTGCCCAGTCTTCTCTACAAGCTGAAAGGACTGCTCTTTTTACCCTCTCAGACTCTGGTTTATTTTTTTCCCAAGCTCTGCAAGAATGCAGGGTCAATTTTACAATGCCAACACAATTGGGGAGCATTTCATAGGCCCGAGAAAGCCGATAGATTAAAGACCTCTGTCTACTTCCTTTCCCTTTTGCAAAACAAGTCTAACTGTAAGAATATGTCATAATTTGGACTAGTACTTGGGGGCCAAATTTTCTCACGAATTCATCTTGAGGGCAATTCAAGAATGTCTTTCTAGGGTCTCAGAAGCAAACTTGTCCCAGTTGACAATCAGGAAAGGTGTGCGACAGGCTGGCTTCCTCTCACCAAATGTATTCAATCTGTATGTGTCTGTCAGTCCTCCTTCTTGGTCTTCCTCTGTCACGGCCCCTCCACTTGACTAAGCACGATGTCCTTCTTCAGGGACTGACTGGTCTCTCCTGACATGTCCAGTGTACGTGACATGAAGTCTCATAATCCTTGCCTCGAAGGAGCATTCTGGCTGTACTTCTTCCAAACCAACTGATTTGTTGGTTCTTTTGGCAGCCTATAGTACTGTTGATATTCTTTACCAGGACCATGATTTAAGTGTATTGATTATTCTCGCGTATTCCTTATTCAGTATCTAACTTTTACATGCATATGAGGTCATTCAAAATACGACGGCTTGGATCAGGCACAGCTTGGTCCTCTCAAAGTAGCATCCTTGCTTTACAAAAATGTAAAGGTCTTGTGCAGATGGACACAGGAAGTGGGATGGGTACATTGAGGGAAGTCTGATAATTGAGGTGAAACAGAAAGTGTATGAATTGTTGAATGTAAGCCCGTGGGTCTCTTCTGGAAACCTTCACTTAACTTTTTTTTAACCTTCACTTAATTCACAATCAGATGTTAACCAGAAAAAAAAAAAAAAAAGGAATTACAGCCTAGAAAACCTAATGCAGTTCCTATGAGTCAATCAATTCACAGCACTTTTTTAAGAACTAACATAGTTTTGAGTACATTTTGCCCTCTACGGAATTGGGCGAGGGGACACAACAGGCTCTCCTGACCTTGCCAGGTCAGAGTGATGAGAGTTGATTGATTGGGAGGCTGCTTCCCAAATTGACCTGTTCCATGACCTACAGGGGGCCCATCTCCGCCCTGATCTGTTTCCCTGTTTACAACAAGACGCCTGGACCAATCCTTGACTTCTCAGGATCATAGTATCCTCCCATCTAAGAACCCAGAGGGTGGACATAGCAGAGCCGGTTCACCTCCCAGTCTGCCCCTCTCCTGAACTCAGCCATCAGGGTCCTCACGTGGGAGGGAATCAGTGATTACACCTGGGGGGTAGTTCCTGCTGTGGGTGATGAGCCTTAATCGGGCTCTTCTCTCCTGGTCTTTGTAACTCCCACCAAAGGATTGGGTGGGATCATAATAAGGGTGTTTGTAACGCTCATCAAGGGGATTGGTTAGTTTTCGTTACCGCCTCTCTGGCTCAAAGGTCATCTTTGAAGCAGGAGCAGAGAAAGCCCAGGACTGTCGGCAGAGCATGTTCCAGATGCCTGAAGTGGCAGAGGCCGACACCCGAGGTACCAGCGACTGTGGCATGGTGACTGGAGCAGGGTGAGAGGTATGTCAAGATTACGGGACCATGAGACAGAGCAATAGGTGGGCTTCCTGGTCTGGGAAGGCAGAGGCCAAGGGACCACATGGCTGAACGGCTGAGGACCAGAGAGGTGTTGTGGACCCATGACTATATCCTTACTGCTTTCAGATCTTGAATTTTGGTAACCTATTCACGCCCCTAATAACCCTCCTTACTGGGTGGCCATTGCAAAGAATTATTGAACCCAGAACAGATGAAGTGTGGCATGGGACGAATGGCTGGTGTCAGAAAAGGTCAAGAAGAGCGGAGTGTGGAGGGAGGTTTGACCCCACATGGCATCATGGCAGTAGAGAAGCCAGGGGTCCGATACGGCCCCCATGCCATTGACTGCAGTTACTGAGTGATACACACACACTAGTTGAGGGCTCAACTTCTAACTGAAAGGCTGACAGTTTGAACCCCTGCCCTGAGATACCTTGGAGGAAAGGCCTCATGGTCTGCTTCCCAAATCTCACAGCTGTGGAATTCCTGTGGCGTAGAACCGTTCTACTCTGAAAGACCCAAGGTCACCGTGAGTCAGAATGCCCTTCACAGAGATTAGTTTCATGTGGGGTTTGCACCCAAGGAGGAGACTGCAGAGGCAAGGGGAGGGCAATTTTCTTGGATTAGTATCCCTTTCCCATACTCCTTTCTAGACTTCAGGGGTTCCCATCCCTGTCTCCCGATCCATAACCCTGGGCTGAAAAGAAGGGAATATTCTTTCTGGAGCCTCTGAATGCTTTATGGCGGTGGTTCTCAACCTTCTTGATGACGTGACCCTTGAATACAGTTCCTCATGTGGTGGTGACCCCCAACCATAAAATTATGTTTGCTGCTTCATATCTGTAATTTTGCTACTGTTATGAATCAGGTGACCTCTGTAAAAAGGGTCATTCAACCCCCAAAGGAGTTACGACCTACAGGTTGAGAACCGGTTTTATAGCCTCCCTTCTAATCATCCCAACATTTTGTTCCAGGTGAGGAGATTAAGGCTCAGACCATGTGTGTGAGAGCTTGCAGCTGCAGACAGACAGATCTTGAATTAGTCACCTCAGAACCTGTAGGAACAGATCCAGGTGTCTGAGAACCTGATACAATTCTTGGACCTGACTTGCTGTGTACTCTTAGCCAAAATACTTCCTCTGTGAGCTGGGTTCAGTTTGCACCTTTGGGTCCTTAATGGATAATAGAACCACCTTTCAGGCACATCCTGGGTGGGTCTCTAGGTCTTTGACACCCTAGAAAGCACTTACCCAACGTAAAGAAAACACCCTCACAAATCCAACATCAACACGGGTCAGATTTTAAAAAGGAAATGTTTATTTTCATGTTATAAGGTGATTACAAACTCCTCTAAAAAAAGCAAAGATGAATTTAAAATATCGATATACATGTTTATCTAAAAAGCAAGAGGAAAAAAACAAACCCTGCAAAATACAGAGATTCATATCATAAAACATTTATACACAAAAGCTTGTATACTGCAATGAATTACACACCAAGGATCTTGTTCAAATACAAAGGTTCCTCCTCAGGAGAGTCTCCTGTTGGTGGATTTTTGTTTGTTTAAAAAAGTTTAAAATATCTTAAAAATAGTTTGAGGTTAGAAAAAAAAAAAATGTCCCGATGAGCCAGACATGTGTCTGGAAGGAGGAAGGCCCCACCCACTCAGCTTTCCCTTGTGCTGAATAGAGTCATATTTGCCAGGGAGTGGAACATCAATTGGGTTGAAAAAAATAAAATGAAAGAAGCCAAACATCTCTACCTGAAGCCAAATATAAATAACAAGATACTTCATCCCTCAGGGAACGCATCCAGTCTGTAGTGACATCCACAAGAGAACGGTGAAAAATAGCTTCCTATTGCTACAAGATGCATTCCAGGGTGGGCTGTGAGGGCGATGTAGAGAGGGGAAGAGGAAGTGAGAGAGGCATGCTATTCCTGGGCCTCGGGGTTGTCTACTATACCCCCTCTCCAAGCGTTGAAATCTGGGTTTTATATTGTTGGATTTTTACACAAGGTGTCTGTTTTGATTTTACCTCAATTCATGCCCCCCCTCCCCTTGCTAAATGGTTATTTTGTTGAGAATATACAGAGCAAAACTTACTCAATCAACAGTTTCTACGTGTGCAAATGATTGATCTTGTTTGCATCAAGTTGTGTAACCCTTGCCGCCCTCGCTTTCTGGGGTCCTCCTTCATGAGCAGAAACTCAGTCCACCCCATCCCTCGAGGCCCCTATGGAATTTTGAGTTGCTGTTCATTGGATCTCAAGGCAGGTAGTTCTTCAAAGAGCATAAGGTTCAGGTAGGCTTTTCCCCCAAACTAGTGAAGTTGAACTATTGTTCCGTTTTACTTCAGGAAAGAGTTAGGGTTTAAAGATGATCTCAGGGCAATCCCTTCAGGGGTCATCCAACTTCCATGGCTTCCAAGTCTCGAATCCATGATCATGTGAAATTGGGTTCTACGCTTCCCCATTTCTGATCAAAATGCTCAGTACACTGCAGGAGGTACCAAGAAGTTCTAGTCTCATGGCACAGGAAGTCATTGACTACACATTCCATTTCCTCCTGATTCCCCTCTCTCCTTCCTGTTGTTCCAGTTGCATAAAGACTGCTTGTGCCTTGGGTGTCCATCTGTAAGCCCCCCCCCCTCCACACACACACACACATACACACACACACTATGAACGGTTCTAGGAGGTAGAGAAGCACAAAACACATCACTAAGCCAATTTACTGGGATGTCCCATGAAACCATGACTCTAAAGCGAAGAACCCAATTCTATGTCCCAATTCTATGTCCGGAAGCAGCCTTGATGTTAAGTCTCCTTTGTCCCTCCTTCCGTTATTTTCTTCTAAGAATGTTATGGGTTGAGCTTGCACATTTAGGTGTTTAATCTATTTAAAATGATTTTGTGAGTCATGGTCTTATTTCATTTTCCAGCATGTGGAAATCCAATTTTCCCAGCACCATTTATTGAAGAGACTCTTTCCCCTTGTCACACATCAGCTAAGCAGAGCTGTGTAGGTTTATTGGCGTTATGTGTCCACTGTTTAACCAGGACCAGCTGTTTTAATTAGGGTAGCTGTATAGTCTTTTTTACACCAGGAAGTGTGTCTTTCTACTTGGTTCTTCTTTCAGCGTTGCGTTAGCTATTCAAAGCCTCGTGATAGCTAATGTCAAGTGGAGGGTTGGTTCACTTTGAGTGGCCTGGACATCACTACCAAGATTGTTTTCCAATCCAGGAACGTGCACCATCTTTTTAAGGTCCCTTTAATCCCTTTGGGCAGCGTTTTCTAGCTTTCATTGTATAAGCCCTTCGTGGCCCTTGTTATATTGGGACTTGTTCCCCTCCAGATTTCCCATCTAGTACTTTGCAGATCAGTGATATTGGCCTGTAGTTTTCTTTTCTTGGGATGTCTGTCTGATTTGGCCATCGGGGTTATGTGGGCTTCAGAGAGTGAAGTAGTGTTTGTTTCTTTGCTATCTTCTCAGAGAGTTTAAACAGAATTGGTGTCATTTCTTCTCTCAATGTTTGGTAGAATTCCCCATTGAAGCAAATACTTTATTCACTTTTGGAGGGATCAGGGGGGGGGGCCTTATCACTAATTTGATTTTTAAAAAATTGTTAGAGGCTGGCTGTGTGCTTCTAAAAATTTGTTTCATCTAGTCCATCCAATTGGTTGCTAAATAGTCCTAATAGTATCATAATTCTGTCAGTTGTAACGCCCAGCTCTTTCACTTTTTATCTTGGTTATGTGCATCTTTCTTTTTTGCCAGTCTAGCTACAAACCAAACCAAGCTCACTGCCACTGAGTCAATTCTGACTCATAGTGACCCCCCTGTAAGGCAGGACAAGACCTGCCCCCTGTGGGCTTCTGAGACTATAAATCTTTACAGGATAGAAAATCTCATCTCAACCCTCTGTCCCCACCCCCTCCCTAACCTCAGTCTAGCAAAATTTTATGAAAGAAACCAATTTCTGGTTTATTGAGTCTATTGTTTATTTTTCTGTACTCTGATCTTTGTTTCTATTCTGGTAGATTTAGGCTTAGTTTACACTTCTCTCTAGGAGAGAAGTTGTCCACTTAAGTTGTTGAGATTTTGACAGTGTGGGCATCTGTTGCTGTTCCCCTCTGAGCACTGCCTCTGTTGCACCCAACTTTCTGTGCCATGCTTTCCTTTTCCTCTTGGATGGTGGAATGTTTTATCTACGCCTGTCATGTCAAGTTGACTTGTAGTGTCGTTAAAGTCTTCTGGTTACTTGTTCTTCTTTCTAGCTGTTCTGTCCGATGTTGACAGTGGCATACTGACCCTCCAATTATGATTGAGGGCTACCAGTGTTAGCTTTACATGGTCTAGTTAAGTGCCCTGATGTTAAATGCATACACACTTAGGACTGCTAAATAAACCTTAATGGACCCTTTCATCACTAGAAGAATGTTTGAATTTTTCTCTTCTAACAGGTTTTGTCTTACAGTCTACTTTGCCTGATATTATGATTGCTACCCCAGCTCTTCTGGTTATTATTTGCAAGGACTTTTCCCTCTGTCCTTTCATTTGCAATATCTATGCGTCCTTGGGGGTAAGGTGTATGTCATGTGAACAGCATAGTTAGGTCATGCTTTCTCAGCAATTGTGCATTCACTGACTTAGCTCTGGCACTTTGCTGGGGCTGTTTTGTGTGTGTCTTAAACCTTCATGGTCTAGATGCTTTAATACTGCTTGCTTTTGTGTTTTGCTGAAGTAAGTCTTACGGCTCTCTTCTTTACTTCTGTGTTTTTTTATAGTTTCTCTTAAATGGTTACCATAAATATACTTTAGAATGGGTAGTGATAGCATTCTAGGATCAATTGGTACCAACTTAACTTCAATGTCATATAAGAAATTCTAGGTCTATACCATTCTTCTCCCTGCTTTCTGTTTTACCACTAATTATATCTTAACTTCATGTACCCTGTAACATAATTTATGCCTGCCTTTTGTAGATTTTATTTTAAAACATGAAGTATAAAACACTTGGGATTATCCAGCATGAATACCTTATTACTAGCCCTTATACTTGCCCATGTGTTTCCCGATGTCAAGGATCTTTATCTTCACATATGGTGTTGAATGACTTTCTAGTGTCTTTCCCGTCTATCTACAGGACAGCCATTGATCATTACTTTTTGTAGGGCTCGTCTGGTGGCTATGAACTCTCTCAGCTTCTGTTTGTCTAGGAATGCTGTAATCACACCTTCGTTTTTGGGTAGTTTCCTTGGGTGTTACTATTCTTGGTTGAGTTTTCTTCCTTTGAGCACTTCAAATATCCCATTGTCTCCTAGCCTCCAATATTTAAGGGAAAATTGGCACTCAGTCATTTTGAGGATCCTTTGTACATACCTTTGCTCACTGCCTTCAGAACTCATCTTTAATTTTTGAGCTCCTACTATGAGGTGTCTTGGTGTAAATCTATTTGGGCTTATCTTGTTTGGGGTTCTCTGAGCTTTGTGGGCGTGTGGATTCATGTCCTTTGTTAGGGTGGGGAAATTTCCTGTCATCATTTCTCAAATACTCTGTGTCCCTGTTGGTCTCATTCCTTCTGGAATTTTCATTGTACATCGTCGTTAGGTCTCTGGTTGTTGTCCCGTAAGTCCATTGGATTGTGCTCAACCTTCTTGCTCTGTGGTGTCGTTTTGTCGCTAACTCTGATTTGCCGCGTCCTCCTTTTGCCTGATTAAGTCTCCTGGGAAGTCAGTGCTAGCTGAGTGCACCTTTCAAATGAAATATTGCTTTTTAGATTCTGTTCTTGCATTGCTTTCCTATGTCTTTGAGTTCTTTGTCTACGTCTCTTGGTTATTCTAATTATGTCAGTTGTTGCTGTCTGATTTCTTCCATTCCTCCGACTGCCCCCACCCCCACTATTTAGTCACCCCTAGATGTGTTCTCACTCACTTTGTCATGTTTATTTGGATGGGCCACTGTATCCCTGTTCTTTGTTTCTTGTGATTTTGTTGTTGGCCCAGTATTGAAATTTGCAAGGGTGTCAACTTCCTGAATTTCCCTACGTTCTGCAAAAAAATGTTCTAGGTAACATTTCCTCTCCTCAGTGAAAACTCCTAAAGGGATTGAAAGTTCCAGACCTTATTTTTTTTCAACTTTCAATCTCTTCCAAACACATCTGATGAGAACCTGTCCATCTGTCGGCACTGCCACTCAGCCGAGCTGTCATGTGCTACTCAATCTGTGCATCAGGGACTGTAGTCACCTCTCTCTGGTTATTAAGAGTAATAACCTTTCCCTCTCTTCCAACGATCATGTTTTTATTGGGAAAACCCACACCAGGCAAGTCCTCTCTAGGGCTGGGCGCTGCCTGCTGGCTTTGCCTGATAGTTCCTTCCCTGCTTTGTGAGGGTGGCTTATCTCAGCTTGAGCTGGATTCAGCAGAAGTACAGGCAAACATTCTTTCGTTTCAGGAGGATGAAGTGGGAGGGACTGGTACCCCCAGAAGGTCCTCTAAGACGCGGCTTTTGTTGGTTTTGGAGTACCCGGGACCCTGGGGTGGCTGGGAGAGCAGTGTCCAATTAGATGACCCTTCTGTGAGGGTTCCTATCAGACCAGCAGGTGACTATTACCAGTTGAAAGCGGGGTCATCACAATGGAAGCATCCATCCAGGAGGCCCGCCTGGCTGCTATCAGAGCTTAGTAGCCGTGTGTGCAGCCTCCACTGGCATCAACCAGCCGTGTCGACTCTTGGTCCTCGGTGTCAAGTGTCAGCTCACTGTAAGGGGGAGCAGAGAAACCAACACGGACCCTAAGGGAGGTCTGTCCTGTTGGCTTCAGGCAAGGAGGCAGGTGGAATGGTGGTGATATGAACAGAGTCCACGGCAGGAACCTTCTGTAGCAAGTTGCAATAGCCTGGCAAGCAATCCTTCCTGGGTGGGGGTGTCACACTCGAAGATCAGCCTGGTTGCTACCTGAGTCCCCCAGTAGATTGTTGGCTGTGGATGCAGCTTCCACTTTGCAGTCCCCAGTGCCAACTGGAAGTGGGGAGGGACGGAGTAGCTCCAATGGACCCCCGAGAGGATTTTCCTGTTGGTTTCAGAAGCCAGTGATGTAGGGGACACATGGTGGTGCAAGTAGAGTGGGGAGTGCACTGCAGGACCCCTTTGTAGCAATGCATAGCTGACTCGCAGGGGATAGCGTCCAGGTTGGGGAAGGGCTGTCATGCTCCAAATGCACCTGCAGGGAGATCTGCCTTGTTGCTGTGTGAGCCTTTCCTGTGGTATGTTGGCTCTGGGTGTCCTCTCCACTCAAGATACCTGCTTTCTTAGCACACAGCAGCCTGGCTCAGAGTCCTCCGCACTGACCGGAAGTAGGGGACTTCAGAACCACCTGGAAGGCCGAGCTGACCCGGGAGGTCTGTTCTGATGTTTCCAACACAGCCCTGCGGAGCACGGCGAGGCTCCGTCTGCCGCATAGGCCGCCTGCAGCAGCTGGCAGCTGCTTGCAACCAAGTGTTTGGGTGGGGGAGGTGCTGGTACCCTTCAAACGGGCCCCCAGCATCGTCTTCCTTGTTCAGTTTAGGACAAAAGCTTGGGGTCCTGTTTCTTTGTACAGCAGGAACTGTGGCATTTCGGGAAGCAAGTTCATCTTTCTGGGGCCACTACCCCAGTTCACGGTAGCCAACAGCCTGTGTGGCTCGGGGAGGGGAGGGGAGGAGAAGCCATTTTCCGGTCGGGTTATTGATTTTTGTCTGTTTGCGGCACCCCCCCACTGCTTTCTTCTGCTCCTGAACTCAGAGTCCCTGTGCGCTGAGCGCCATTTCCTTGTTGCACATGCGTGGAAGGGTCAGAATCACTGTTTCATGATGTCATCATCTTCCCAGCATTTGCATGAGACGTGGCGTACATGCCCCTGGGCAGCAAGGCCCAAGTCACCTGGGCTTGGGTCTGAAGGGCAGGTGGGACCCCAGCCACCTCCAGCGAGGTCTCTCTGCTGAGTCCTATTCAGGTTGGTGGTCCGGGTCTTGGGAGGCAGGAAGGCACCTTTGGGTTCAGCCCTGGTTCCCAGGGCACTTCCCTAGCCAAGAGGGGCAGTGTTGACAGATGCTGGTTGTGGGACGAGTGCCCTGGGGACATACTGGTCCCCTGTATCTCACCATTGTTTTCTGGGATGTGCAGGGGGACCTGAGGGACAGAACCAAGGGCCAGGGGGGTGGAGAAGAGCTGCCCAGCATACACAAGGGACAGTTAACCGAGACCACAGTTGGGAATTTCCCATGTGGTCCCAGGACAAGTGAGGCTTCCATTTAAACATTGACGACGGGGGTATATATGCTCCTTGCACCCCGATTCATGTCCTTGGGCCTCAGTCTCCTTATGTGCAATGAAAGATCTCAGTTCTTATCTCACAGAGGACCATTAGGAAGGAGGAGGGTTGGCATGGGGCCAGGGTAGATGTAGACGCCGAGGCCCTGGAGAACCCGCCTCTCTGAGCCACAGCTTGGGGTCCAGCCAATGCTGAAGATAGTTGAAAGGGGCGGGGATACTGCCCACCTCATCCTTCAACATGGGGGCGGGGTGGGGGGGGAAGAAGGGGGGGCTAGTGTTTCCTTTTCCACGAAGCCGTGACCATGGCCGGCAGGGAAGATGCTGAGGAGTTCCGTACATTTAGTCCATGTTGCAGTGCAGACCCCTCAGAGCGCCACATCGGGAGAGCCGGCGCTGGCGGCCACGTGACCCAGTCTGGTTTGTCCTGGCTTGCGAGCAAAAAGTCCTTTCTGGTCTCCATGCCTCCGTTGCCCCCATTTTACAACAGTGCTGGATTATTAAGGGCCTCACCGGCCATTCCTGACTCCAGTGAATAGCTAGCTGATCCGCCCCAAGCAGATTTATCCGGGGACCATTTCCCGTTTCTGCGTCTTCAAAGAAATTCTCTGTCTCTCTTCCTTCTGTTCCAGATCTGGCTGGTGGGGCCCAAGGCAGGCCTCAGAGTCCCTGCTTGATCTCAGGACCTGGGCGGCAGAGCCCGGGGTCCGTTCTTCAGAGACGGGTGGACTGCAGTCATGAGCGCTAATGACAAGTTTCATTTATATGGAGACATACAAGTCAAACATTGTTACACACGGTACTCATAGAGCCAAGGTCTGCAGAGCCATAGACAGAGAGGGACGATACCTGGGGACAGGTGCCCCGGAGCGGAGTTAAGAGATGGGCTTGGGGGAAAGTGGCAACTTTCTTTCCAGGCAGGGCCTGGGGTGGGGGCTAGGTCTGCATGTGTCTTTGGTCTAGAATTTGGTCTGGGAATCTTATAAGAAGATGCCTTCCTTAGGTAATTTCCAGAATGTTGCAATTTGCCTAGCAGCCTGAAATACTGCAGCCTCTCACCCACGGTGCAAGTGTCCCAGGGGTAGGAACGGGGCAGGTGCCACGGACTGAAATTGATGACAAATGTCCGGGTAGCCACGGCTCGCCAAGCCGTTCTTCTCATCCACATGTCACCTGTCCCCAATCATGACAGAGGTAAACTGACTAAAGTTCCACACGACAACGAGGGGTCGCGTAGCCACTCCGGACGACCAGGGACACACAGTGAAATAAAGCCAGACTCGGCGGCAGACATCAATACACAGACAATATAGGAACACGTTAGAATTGTTTGCGGTTTGGAATAAGATGGGATGTTGGTTGGCAGAGTTGGTGGCTTTACAAATGGCAAACGTTGTCTATTGGCCAAAGACAATTTGCCACCTGGGAGAGGGGTCCCCACAGGATCCTCCCCCTCCCACATCTGGGTGTGAGCTCTTGCTCGGAAAACAACCTGAGCTCCCTGCGCCTCGCCAGGCAGGCTGGACAAGGGTTTCGGTTGAGCTTAGACTCTGAACTTGCCAGCAACACTTTACATGGCACGGCCCACGTCCAGATGGGGGTGGGGTGGGGTGTCTACACGTGATTTCAAAGGTGTCGCACCTTCTCTTCTGGTTCAGGAAGGAACTGCCCTCAGCCTAAGGCTGTTGATCAAGCCAGGATTGGTGTGCCAGCCCCTTGGACAAACCCAGCCTCGAGGCTGGGGTGGGCTGGAAGAAGCCCAGCACCCTCCTGCTTTGGGGAACACTTTCTCCAAACCCCGAGACCAAACCTCACCAGATGTTCTTGGCATAGGGAAGCCCCCAAGGGTGGGTCTTTCAGAAAAGCTGTCCAGGAGGGCGTGGGGACAGCATTGAAGGTGGGGAGATGAGGAAGGAAAGGCACCCCAAGCCACAGAAGGCCCCTGCCCTTTGGTCCACATGCCCTCCTACCTCGTCCCATCCCTAAACAATACAAACACGGTGTTTCCTGGCAGGCAACGACCAGTGGAACAACTTGAGCCTGCCGAGGTTCCCCTTCCAGTACAATGGACCCACCCACAAGGCCCAGTCCTCCACCTGGAGCCGGGCGGCTGGGGTTTCCACCAAAGGCACCCCAGGAGGGGCCATGGCCTGGCCCTAAGGCCACTAGGGAGTTACAACACAGCTTCCACATGCAAGCTGACTCTCAGATGTCCCTCTCTTCTGTCCTGGGTGAAGGATGCCAAGAGTCTTCCTGCCAATCCTCAGTCTCAAGATAAAAGGTGGGCTTTTTGCTCCTGGCACAACGCTTTCTACCGCTCTGCAAGAGGGCCTCATGTTGATGGGAGGGGTTGGTTCAATTATTTTGGCATCTCTCTCCTTGGCTAAGTCAAGTTTAATGAGGTGTCAGCTCGGGAACCTACCTTCCTTCAAACACACAGCTCCCCACGACCCCCACCCCCGCCAGTCTGGCCAGCTAGTGAGCCTTCTCCCCTGTGGTATTTGCCCACCTGAACCAGACTTTGGAAGGTACTGCACCTTTGCTATAGGTCTGCGGCCCCAGGGAGATGCCACCCTGGGCGTTTGGGGCAGAATTGTCTGCCCGTGACACAGCACCGAAAAATTGCTTTTTGAAATGAGATCTATTGCTGGCAAGGAGATCAGTTCAAGTCGTCAAGCGTACAGCGATCTCTAAGTGTCTATATGTTAAAAAAAAATTACAAAGGAAAATTTAACAAGTTCCCATAAAATACATCTAATTCTGTATGAAAGCTCGGCCGTTCCCCGGACGCCTGGGAGGGTGGGCAGGGTTCTTTTTGTACAAAATATCCCCCAAATCAAAACGGAACACAACACGCATGAGACCCACACACCCACACGTACGCGCGCACACACACAGTAACATTTTCTGTGACAATTAAAAAAAAAAAAAATCCTAGTGCAAATGTAAAGCTCTGTAAACCTGGCCCTAGGAGAATCTAATGTTAGTAAACAGCAGGAAAGCGGCCCGGCCTCCCGGAGCTCACATCATGGTCTCCACAATGATGTGGGTGGGCTTCATGAGAATGCCGTTGGCAGTGGCGGGCGAGTTGTAGGGGAGGGCCCCCTCATGCTCCACAGCCCAGCGGTTTGGGTCCCTCGGAGTCAGCAGGTACTTGATCCTCTGAAAGCAAAGGGGTAGATGTTAAAGGCTTCAGCCTCTCCTCACCCCTCTGGTTCTACTCAGGTATCAGCTGCCCATCTTCCACCTCCTCCCCTCTGCCTCTTTGTCAGTCTCTCGGTCAGCAACAGAGTCCAGCTCAGGTGCTTCTGACCTGTGTGGACCAAAAAATCCCTGACCACAGCAACTTCCCAGAGGGAAGAGATAGAAACTAAGGGGCACTGAGTTAAGCCAATGGGGATGGGACAACAGAGGGTGAAAATGGCCAAAGGGCGTGAAGGGTGTAATCAATGTCACTGAGTTGTAAGGCAGAAATGGCGGAATTGGTGCACGTTCTCAGTAACCATCGAATAAATTAAAAGTGTGAGGCCAACTGTCTGTGTGTGGGCCTTCCCCTTCCAACAGAGAGGAGCCAGAGGCTGAGCATCCACAGACCATTCTGAGCAGGGTGAGTTTGGGGTTCCCGCTGGGTGCCTGACCACAGAATCAATGTGGACAAAGAGCCCTCCCCAGGGTCACACAGAGAACCAATGGCAGAGCTGAGAACCCTCCCTAAGGAGGGACACACACAATCGATGGCAGAGCAGTTACTTGAACCCGGGCCTCACCAAGTTCCCATTGGCCACTTACACAGGCAAGCTGCTGCAAATAAGTAGCCCATTAGGCACGCCACCTCTATATTTGAAAGACCCAAACCAAAGAGGCGCTGATTAAAAGGTATAAAAACATTTCACTTAAAAATCTAGATTGCTATCTTTTCTTGAAAACGGCAACACCTGGCACCCTTGGGTCCTCCCTCCCTCCTGGCCACCACTGCGGGACCTCGTGCCTGCGGCTGATTTAAGAAACAAAAATCAATATACCTCCAGTAGAGGTAAAATGCCATCTCCGAGGGGGAAAGGCGGGGTTGCACTACTACAGAGAAGAGAAGGCAGTAGAATACATCCCTTGGGCCCTGTGCTGAGAGGTGGGCCCCTAAAAACCAGGAGCCGAGAGAGGTGTAACACTAGAGATGGTACAAGACAGTGATGAACTAGTCCGGTTGTATACTGCTGGGAGGAAGACTATACGAAGGGGTAGAGGTGCCCCGCGGCTGACTGCCTCAGGCTTTCCTCCCACTACGCCCTGGTTTCCTCCTCCTCCTCCTCCGGAAGGCTGGTCCCTGCGGGCTCCATCTCCCCTCTCCCCCCAAGGCCTCGCTGTCCCAAACCCACCTTCAAGCCATTCCCTTGTGTGGAGGAAACGTGGCCCAGCCCGAGGGGCAGTCAGGGCCAGGACATCCTGGCTCCAGATTTTTAAAGAATAACAATAAAATAGCTCAAAACAAAACGGGCGTGTTGGAGGTGGCCCAAGACTAAAGGTTAAGGGTGCTTCTGAGGAAAGGATTTCTTGGAAAGAAGCCTTCTGCCAGGGCCCGGAGTCTCTGGTATTGTTAGCGTTTCTCAGGACACAGAGGGGGGTGGGGGTGGGGCTGGCACCCGGGAGACTTGGCCCGAGCAGGGGTGACTTCCCAAGGTCTGGCTGCAGACCCAGGGGGAGGACACTGGCATGCGCTGACCTTACCTAATTTTGGCTCCTTAGTAAGGGCGGCATCTGGGTGGAGCTCAGTCCCATCCCCCTAGGGCCTAGACACCCAGCTCCTGCATAAAGCCTGAACTCCTGAAGGGGGCACTTCAAACCATGCCCCTCTCTCCTGCCTCACACTGTGCCCCATCAGGGACACACACACCACTCTACCCCCACCCCGCCCGCCCCTCTCACACTGTCGGCCTCGTGCTCGAAGGCCTCTGCTGAAACCCACCACAAAGCCTTCTCTAGGATAAGCCATCCTTCATCCCCACACCAGACTCTTCTGCTCAGTCTCCACAGCGCCACGCAGCAGGCCGCGGAGAGGGTGGATCCTGGCCCCCCCACCCCCACCGGCTGGGGGCCCCCACATGCTTACTCACCATGGAGAGGGAGCCTTGTGCCTGGCAGAGGGAGATGAGGAACACGAGGGGGATGCACACCATGGAGGCCAGGGCCAGGGCCCAGCCCAGCCCAATGGCCCAGTCAGGGTACACATAGACTTTGTTATAGGTCAGGGGCTGGTACTTGACAAGAGAAAAGATAAAACATCCCTGTGGAGAGAGGGGAGAAGTCAGTGCGGTTCTGAGCATGGAGGGCGGAGGGGCCAGGGGACTGGGGTGGGTGAGTGGTGTCATCGCTTTCCTTGGGCGAAGACGAGCTGGGTGCCTCCCACCAGGCTGCTAGAAGGATCTCCGTGCAGGATAAACCTGACCACACTGCCTCCCGACTGGAAATCCTTCGGTGCTCCCCAGTGCCTTCAGGATAGGGCTCAAACTCCTCCTCGCTCCTGTCTTAGAGTGCCAAGCCTTCCCCCCCACCCCCCTACACGCTAGCCACCGGATTGAGGCCGCCTGCCTCAGGGCCTTAGTATATGCCGTCCCCTCTCTCCTGCTGAGGCCTGTCTCCTGACTTTGTTCTCAGGCCTCTCAGAGGCCCCTTCCAGGCTTGCATGCCCACGCTGTTCCTCCGTGGAACACCCTGTGCACATACATCGCTTCTTCAGCAAACACCTCTCCCTGGAGCCCACGAGGTTCCAGGGACACGCTGCCGGCGACCAATCCATGCTCACCGCCGCACCCACCAAAGGCTCTCTCCGTTCCAGCGTTCCTGCAACTGCCTGCCCATCTGCGGTCCAGCAGGGCAAACCCTAGGTCCAGCTGCCAGGACAAGGCGTGCCCCAGGGCCTTGCCCAGCTCCGTGGAACAGCCTAGCTCTGTGGCAGTGCCATTCCCACCCACAAATGGGGAGGTGGCTGGGGCCAGCGCTGGCCCTCGGAGAGATAGTGGAAAGCCCACGTTTCCCTAGGCAAAGAGCGTCTAGGCCAGCTAGATGCCCAAGCTTTTGCACAGGTCAGAATTGGAGTATACCCGAGGAGTTTAACCTGGGATTGTCTCGGATTGACTCACCATGTGAGAATGCCGTGAATCCTCACGGCCCAGTATCCAGTGCAAATCAAGCCGTTTTAAACAGGTAAACCTACTGAAGTCCGGAGCTGGCCACCTGAGGCAGGAAGAGCACTGGGCCCCAGACACTTTCTACTGGCCACCCACTCGCCTATGATGGTTTCTGCCCTTAGGCACAAGGTGGCGGCTCAGGCAGGGCAAGCCCTAGCAGAAGCTACTCTGGGCTCTGCAAGCACCGGGATGCTTCGAGCCCCCCACCCTGCTCTCCTGGAAGCCTGCTTAATGCTGACCTACGCAGCCTATTAGGGAGGGAGAGAGGAAAACCCCGAGGCTCAGGCGTGGAAGTTGCTTCCTACAAATGAAGATCAAGAGAGGCAGAGAACATGGGCTTGAACCCAACCCAATTCATCTTCACAGCAAACCCATCAACTGCTGTGGTCCCTGGCTGCCACAGTTTCTGGGTTTTGTGCAGAAAACAGTCTGGGGAAAGCATGCATCACCAAGGAGAACAGCATCGTATTAAAGAACAGCCGTAGCAACCACAGGTTGCCCGCTGCCTGTGTAGTCCCACTAGAGAGACCTCCCTCAGGAGCCCCGGTGACGAAGTGGTTATGTATTGGGCTGCGATCCACCACGTCAGCTGTTTAAAACCACCAGCCGCCCCCAGGAGAAAGATGGGATTTCTACTCTTGTAGAGTCACGGACTCCAGGGAGTGGAAGGGGCTCTGGCTTGTCCCTTAAGGCCATGCTGAGTTGGCATCAACGCAATAGCAGGGAGTTTGGTGTTTTCATTTGAGAGCCTTATGTTCCAAAAGAGGGCACTGGAGCCCAGAGAGAAGTGACTTGCTTCAGGGCCCACTGTGCTTCAGTTTGTGCTGTGAGCAGGGGTCTCTAGGGTGGGGGCCCATCTTCCCCTTAGCACTAGCTCCTTGGGTTTAGGAGAACCTAGAACCACCCCCTCCTGAGACTCTGCCTTTTCACAAAAGGTGCCCTGTCCTTCCCTCATGAAAGAAGGGGATTAAGCAAGGGCACCCCTCCCTCTCACCACAGGAAGACCGCATCCCCAGTACCCACCACCTGCTCACCGTTTGATGCTCTGGAGGCCTCTCGACCTCGCCAAGGGCCCGGACTGAACTCAGGGACTCTGGAGGGTCTGGGGAAGCGTTATCCCTGCCGTCTCGGACCCCTGCATTTCTGAGCATGCCTGGGTGTACCTCCCTGTTCAAGAACTCCATGCCTCTGCCAGAACAGCCTTCCTGGCAAACTCCTACTCATCCTTCGAAACCCCACTCAAGATCACCTTCTGGGAATAGCCTTCCCGAGGCAGAACGCATTGCTGGGCTTGCTCGGGGCGAACACTTTAGCAGATGCTGGATAGACGGAGGTGATGATCGGGTGGCAATATCCCGACCCAGAGAGCACAGGCTACCCACAGACAGGCAGGATGACACTCACAACACAGAGAACTGGAGTGATGACAGCCCAGCTGTACTTCATCCAGGGCCCAGGCCGATAGCCGATCATGTCCTCAATACCGTTATAAAAGTTATCAGCGCCTATGAGAGACAGGGAGAGGGGCACAGTGAGACGGTGCCCAGGGCAGCGTCAGCCCCGGGAATGGCAGAGCAGAGGCCGGAGGGTCAGGAGGGAGCCCCTGGGGCCCGAGCCAGGCCTCTGTACCTCGATACTATGTAGCCCCAAAGGAGCAGGCCCTTCAGTGAATTGATGTGAAATTCAAATGTAACAGGCCAACCTATCTTTCTCTGGCATCACCTGGTGGACCCCAAATCCTGGTGTGGCTCCTACAGGGTCTCCAGGAATTTGAAATGGGTCAGGTTTGAGCCCTAGAGTAATTCACCATAGGTCTCCGCACAGCCAAATAGGCATTGATTTAAAAAACCACCACCAACAAACGTCACATTTCGTACCCTCAACACTGGGAGCTCTAGAGGGTGGTTACAAATGCATTAGCACAGACAAGGGTCAGTCTAAGAGGCAGGGACCAGGGAGGAAAGGCCTCTGAGTCTCCATGAGACTTCTCTGTTTCTGAAGTCTCTATGTGTCTAAGTCTAAGGAGAGGCAAAGATCAGTACTCACCATATACCCAGGCAATAGTAACACATTCAAAGAATGCAACCCACAAAAGGCATACACCGCTAGCTGCATAGTAGTCAAAGAGTTGAAACACATACATGCCACCCTAGGGAGGAAAGAGAACCGCAGAGAAGGTTGAGCTGTGAGTTGGTATCGACTTCCCTTCACATCCAAAGAGCTTTGGCATATCGATATGAAATACTACATTTTGTTTTTAACCAAGAGGAAACCAAGGCAAAGCTATGGCGAGGCAGTGTGAAGATACACATAGCAAGATGCTCCACCTCACCTTTTTAAAATCTCATGAAAAACACACAGAAAAATGAATGCAAAACAAGACATTTCTTAAATAAAATAAAACTAGTGACTTCACTAAGCCCGCTTTTAAAGGTGGTGCCTAAAACCAATCCAAGCAGACATGGAAGATTCAGTGGCATCCAGGCCAGTGCGTGAAGTTGACATGATGGAAGGTTTTCTTGAAGACATCTGGGTGGGGGGGCGGGGGGACAACTCATTGATTTTTAACTTCTGGTAAGCACAGTAGTGACTGAGAGGTTTGGGGGTGATTGTTAAATGCAGCCTTCCGTTGGAGAATATTGGGGGGGGGGTAAGATTGTAGGAAGAAATGTGCCTCAGCCTGATTTTAAGGCTCACAGCCTTAATTTCACCATCTCTCTCTCAGCACTGGCCTCTTGTCTTGCGGGTCTACTGACGCCTCCCACCCTTCTTCTTCCTTCCCAGTCTGAACCCAGTTTTCCCGGGCTCAGCCAACTCCCTGAACAGCATGCCCTCCTGGCCAGCCAGGCACCGCCCACAGCATAGGTCTAGGCTTACATACAGGGTCTGCAATAAGATGCCGATCCAGGCACTACCTGCCAGTAGTCTTTACAGGACACATCTGCATCTACCCCTGTAAGTAGCTCCCCCCCGGGCCACTGCCCCAAGTCATGCTGTTCCCGTTATTCCAGCTGGAGCCCCTCCCTTGGGCAAGAAGACGGAGGGTCTCCAGCATAACCGGGGAACGGGGCAGGGTGGGTTTGGGAGCTGCATAGGCTACATGTGGATCAGCTGTTGGGTCCTGAGCTTCCTGGACAGAGCAGGGCCGTTGAGCTGGTCGGGTCAAGTGATTGCCCCACCCATCTCCTACCTCCAATCGTGGTCAGGACCGGACCCCAACTGCTCTGACAGCCTGGAGCCAAGCCCCACAGGGGATTGGGGGGCAGGGTAGTCGTGCCACTTACCTCTGTCACCATTGTCAGCCCCAGCAGGTAGCTGGCGCAACACATGAGGGCAATGAAGATTTCCCGATGCTTCCTTAGGAAGGATGGGTAAAGATCAACCAAGGACGTGATCTGTCCTTCAACTTCAACAAACTGACAAGTGAAGGAGACGGGGGAGAGAAAGAGAGAACAGCTGAGTGTCAGATGCCCACCGATGCCCCCTGCTCAGGGGAGGGACTTGAAGCTGTGCAGTGTGGCTGGGGCAGAGAGATGGGGTGGTGAGGAATAGTGCTGTGGGAACAGGCCCCAATGTGTGCAGCCGGTCCTTCCGGCCATCTCTGCAGGGGGAGTTGGAACTGCTGTTCTTGGGAGCTTCCCTTGCATCGGCACACCACACCTCACTGCCAGTGAGGGAGCCCTGCCTCAAAAGAGATGGGTAGATCTGTGCTCCCGAAGTCTTCAATGCCTGGGGTTGAGGGGACATAACTAACAGGCCTTCCTCCCCAGGGCACCTCTGGGCTCACATGACCCTGTTTGTTTAGGGGGACTCTGATGGACACGCAGCTTACCAAATCTTGCACACACGGCTTCATTTAGGCTGTTCCTGCCCCCACCATGCTTTTCCCCCAGTAGTTAAGATTCAGCTCAAGAGCAACATCTTAAGCCAGTATACCTGAGGGCAGGTGTCTACGGGCAGCCTCCCCTCTGAAGGCAAAGGTGGTGGCATGCTTGTTTCCACACTCTGGTTTTCTAGCTCAGGGATCGATAACTCTAACTATATGACAAATGAGTACGTGGCCTTGGCACAAAATAACTAGGTGCCCCAGAGCAAGCCTGGGCCTCAGTTTCTCCACCAGTGAAACCAAAGGGGGCTCTTTAAATTCCCTTTGGGGCTCATGGGGTCATGAGAGAACATCCCAGGGGGATGTGCACACCCACAAGCCCACGCATATGAGCCAAGTGCTGCCCACGGTTCCCAGAAAGAAAGGTGATGATGTGGAAAACCCTCACCTTGGGGGCTTGTTAGAACTAGTTCTAGAACCTGATGACCCCAATCTGTCTGTCACCTGACAGACAAGCTGTCTCTGAGATGATTCCCTATTATTCCCTAAAGAGCTGCCTCGCCTTTCAAAGGGCTCCCTCCGATAGCTACAGCACCAGGGGGTTTACCCCTCCCTGCAGGACAGAGACTTGGCTCGTTCTCCACCTCCTGCTGGGCACCTTCAGTCGTGTGTGTTGTTTGTGGCACAATCTAAGGGGTGGAGCTGCCAGGCTAAAGGGCACGAAGCCTGGCACTTACATCTGGATGGCTGCTGACAGCTCGTCCTGCCAGCCAATCAAATTGCTTTAGACGTTGAGATGCCAATGCCTTGCCCATCTGTGGTTTGTTCTGGGAGGGGGTGGGGGAAGGGTGTCTTCTCAGCTCCCTATCGGACAAACCGAACCGCTTGTCTCTTGAGGACACATTGCAGGGTGATCGAAGAAAGGAGTGTGGGAGAGGGGGGAGAGAGCACCTTTCATGTGGGCTTGGGAGATGACACTTTGTGGCCAGGAATGCAGAGCAATTATGGCCGAAGGCTCTTAGAAGGGGGTCATTACTGGGACCCCTGACTGGGATGTCAACTGAATGGGTTTGGAACCCAAGTAGCAACTGAAATATAGCAAACCCTCAGCTCAGACGTCTCCTGAAGCTATAGCAGGAATGAAAACCAAGGGCCCCTTTGCTTTCATGCGATAGAGAATTCAAAAATGAAGAAATGAATTCATGGGGAACTCCGGGCCGAGACCGGCACAGACCACTGGCTCCCAAGGTCATATCTTTCACAAGGGACTTTCCCCCCCACCTCGCTCCGGGGTGCACATGCAAGTGCCCTCCAAGAAGCCGTATGACCCTGGCTTCTCCGAGCCCCGGTGTCCTTTCTGTAAATTAGGAGGCTCTGGGGTACTCTGCAGGGATGCCGCTGAGGAGCATACGGAACCCTCAGAGTGAGCTGGCAATGGCGGTAACTGGCTCACGGTGCTGCCTGAATACACGGAGGCCCCAGGCACAGCAGGAACACAATACTGGCAACCCTGGGAGCCATGGCAGCCTAGACCCTGGTAACCGGGGGTGGGGTGGGGGTGGGGGTGTTTACTTTTGGAAGTAGATTGCCAGGCCTTTCTACTTAGCTCATCTGCGTGGAAGAGCTACCTGGAAACCTGTTCGGCATGAGTGCAACACGCAAGCCTCCATGGACAGGCGGGCGGTGGCTGGGCCTCACACCTGGCTCGTCCACAGGGACGGTGGGGCTTTGACCAGCGAGCCCGCCAGGCCTCCCTGTGCACATGAAGGGTTCGATCCCATGGGGGAGGAGGACAGGAGGGATGCACCACTGGGAGGGGCACTACCCAGAGCTTCTCCTGTGTCCCTTGGGCAGCCCAGATGCAAAGAGGCACCCGTCTCCTTTGGAATGCTTCTCTTCCCCCCTCTCTAAGAACCCACCACACAACTCCCCAAGCGCTGCTCACCTGAGCTAGGACCCCAGGAGGTGCAGTTCCTCTCCTGAGAGGCTCACACTGGCTGGACCACATCACAGGTGTGAGGCCTCCGCCTGAGGTGGCCTGGGCTCTCAGTGGGCTCAAAGGGACAGTTGTGGGAAGTCACAGGCAAGGCTGATAGACTAGCAGCTAAAGGGATATAGGTTCTGGGACCAGGCAGGTCCAAGGTCACGTTGTGGTTCTATGCCTTAAGTGGCTGTATGAGCCCTCAAGTCCCTCTCTTAGTTTACTCTGCTGGGGAACAGAACCGGTTACCACGGAGTCAGCTCTGATGCTGCACGCATCGGAGTAGAACTGAGCTCCACAGGGATCTTCCAGGCCTGGTTTTGTGGGGGGAAGTGGACCCCTGGGCCTATCTTCTGAGGCACCTCTGGGTGGACTCAAGCCCCGATCTTCCTCCACAGTTAGCAGCTGAACATGTTCACGGTCAGGAGCACCTGGGAAGTCCTCGATGAGACACTGAGTGCTCCAAGTCTTGAGGTCCAGGACCCGTGCAGCAGGTTGCCTCTGAGCGCTAACTGAGGCTCTCTCGGGGCACCGGCTGGCCTACACTGGGCATCCCCCTGCACACCACCCTCAGAGGACATCTAAGTATATCCCTCTCTGCTCAGGGCACGGTCCCAAAAGCCTGAGCCCTGCATTCTGGGCTCAAGGAGATGTCACATCTTGTCACTTATTAAACCTCTCTGGGTTTGTTTTCTTTTACTTAGAGCTCTTGAAGCTATAAAAACCATTTTCTTGGGGGCGTTTGAAGGCTGCACTCCTTAACTGGGGATGATTAACAGCATCCTCTTGCCTGTTTACACAGCACAAGCTGGTCAACAACTGCACAAGTATTTTGTTCTCAGCCTCCCAACTGTTTCCATTCCGCCTTCCCCGCTAATCCCTGTCCCCCTTTGCCAAATCCTTTGCTCAGTTCTTGACCTTGCTTTGCCTGACCACCGCTCCTCTTACTTTTCTGGAATCCCGCTCCTTGGTTTGCTCTTTTAAGATTCTCCTCTTACCCGGAACTGGCTCTCCCGGGACCCGCCCTGGGCACTGGCTTTGCCGGTCGTTTCCCGTGAGGAGGGGAGTGAAGTTCTCTCCTGAACTATGCCACAAGCTGGGTCTCTCATAACCAGAGACGTGCCACCAGACAGTCACACTTCTGGGAGGGCCCATCCCATTTGCTTTTGACAGCGGCCGACTCGGCTGGCAGCCCCTCCCCTGCGCATCTTGAAGCCCCACTCCTCCTGAAATCCTGCTTGTGGGTCTAGCCGGTTGTTTTAAGGCCGTTCCAATCAAACACACATCCTTCCGGGGAAAGGGGACCGGGTAGTTCAGGTCAATGGTCCCCCGACTGCAGCTGGCCGCTCTGTAAGCAGACCATAGGTTCTCACAACACCGGGGAGAAGGGGACAGTCATGCTGTTGACCAGACGAAGAGGCTGAGGCTCTCGGCAGAACACACAGGCTCAGTCACACAGCAGTGCGGTGGAGCCGACAGCCCTGTGGAGGGTAGGAGGAGGAGTTCAGAATGGCAGGCAACAACCCCAGCGGAGCAGGACTCCTGCTGGGGAGGGTAAAGCCACAGAGCGGGACCCCTAGGGCTTAGCATTGGGTGGACAAAACAGTGTTTTCCTGGAAGGATAACACCTCTTCCCTCACTCCCGGTCCGCCAGCTGCGTTTGAGTGGAGTCTGGCTCACAGAGCGCCCAGGTGGGTTAGAGCAGGACTGGGCTCCCGGGTGGGGGTGGGGGTGGGGGTCAGTTTCAGGAGCTGCTTTTCCAAAAGGAAAACACCAAGCCTTCCCTTGGAGGGGCCTCTGGAGGATTCGAACTTTTCGGTTAGCAGCTGAGAGCTTTCACCGTGGGGCATCACCAAGGTCTCCTCCCTCACTTGTTCCAGGGAACACAAAACTCTCAGTGGGGTTTCGACTCCCCCAGCTACTTGTCATGGTGTCAGCCTGGAAGTGTCCCCAGATACCTTTCCCCTGAAGTCTACCCCTGTCCTGGCTCTACCTTAACCCACCTTCCCTGCTTCCATCCTTGTCCTGCCCATCTGCAAACCCAACCCTCTCCCCCACCCCCCAGCTTGGTAAACGATTTGAGCTTTGTAGGCAGACATCCCTCTTCCACAGTCCTGCGAGTTTCCACTGCTGGCCACCTGGGTGACCCCTTGATGGTCACTGGAGGCAGAGTGACTACCTCCCAGCCTAAATAGGGAGGCTTTTCCAAAGGCAGCTTCCCCGAAGCAAGTCCCACCCTGGGACCAATCCCCAGGCCAGCAACCTACCTGGCTGTCCAGTCCAAGCAAGAGAAGCATAATAAAGAAAAGAATGGACCAAAATGTGGGCAGTGGCATCATCGTCACAGCTTTGGGATAGGCAATGAAGGCCAAGCCAGGACCTAGAGGAGAGAAAATAGGGAGGGGAGGGGGTGGGGGGGAACAGGGAGGAAGCGGTCAGCCACTGAGTCCCTGACACTGGGGCTCACACACAGATGGCTGATCCTGAGGTGGGGCGCCCAATCCAAAGTACAGGGAGGGGCCGGGTGTGAGCGTCTGCCTGGGGTGAGGTGGGGGGCACCGAGGGGCTGGGTAGGGCCCCGTTTTAGCATCTGTCTCCTACACAGCACAAAAGGCCTCATTGCACACTAGCCTCCCAAGAACGCTGACTATGGGGGCGGGTGGGGCGAACACAGGACCCAGCCTGGGCCTGGAAAAGGGAGGGCTCCCCACCAAACCAGCCACGTCGACTTCTGGCTGGAAGGAAGCAAGAGTGAGGGGTCTTGTTATCGGACCCCCTCTAGCCCACATTTGTCATGGGGAGGCTTCTATGTTTGACCACTGCATGGGCGGGAAGACCAAGAATGGAGCCATACCACAACACCCCTGCACCCAAAAGGGCCCATGGCATCCTTCTGAAGACAGCACAGGGCTAGGCCTGCCCAGAGTCCGACCCAAAGGGAAGGGTGGGAAGTGAAGATCCTGCACCCAGCCCTCGATCCAGGTCCTCGGGCCCGTTTCCACATTATTCTGCCACACACCCTTGGCGTCTCGGGGCCCCAGCTTTAAGTGGGGGGTTGGTTCTGGGGAGGACTCCCAAGGAGCCTTCTGGGTTCGGGTCCTCAGAGGCTGAAGACATTTCTCTAGAAAGGGGGCTTTGCTTTCAAGAGGAAAGACTGAAAGGGAGGCTTAGGGTTGCCCTGAAATTCCAGAAACGTGTCTCTTCCTATCCCCTAGCCGCCCACCCAGCCCGCGAGAAGACTCCCTAAGGGCAAGGATTTAGTTACAAAGAGACCCCTGGGTCCATCTGTAGTCAGCAGCAGCACCAGACTGGTGTAACTGGCCCGGGCTAGAGAAAATAAGTAACAATAAAATAAAGTAAAATCTACAACTGAAAAAAAAAAAAAGACCAAAAATTTGAAACATAAAAGGGCCGGAGAGCAGGAACTACGGAAGGTTTTTATAAAGCAAACCCTCGAAAGTACCAATGAATGGCTTAGGAAAGGAATTAAAAACGAACCCCCCCAAACGTTGACATAAATTGGAACCAGAGACCGCATTATACAGCGTGAACATTCACCAGGGGGAAGAGCAATTTCTTTTACAGTCCAGAGTTCCCAGGCCTGGGGAAACCTGATCCACATGGAACCGTCCCCCACGGAGGTGATAAACAGTCCCAAGCAGAAGCAGAAAGGAGGGTCTCACCGGCCCAGAGCTGCCCAAGAGGACAAATGGGAGTGGGGAGAGTTGGGACGAGAAAAAACCTCCGAAGGCAGACACCGTGGACCAAAAATAACTTTGGGGTCAAAAGCCCGTGGAAATGGAAAGTGTGGCATTCCCACCCGGGTTGGTCCAAACTCCTGGGTGCCCTGTCTGGGGGGCATCGCCGAGGGTGAGCAAGTCCTGTGAGACAGATGTAAAATGGGCCCCCCTCCCCGCCCCCTGCAGCCCCACCCACTGGGGCATTGGAAGTTCCCAATCGACTCGGTTCTGTATTTCAGTTTTGCCCTTCGCAAGCCCCCCGTGGGAGCAGGCCTGCACTTCTTGCTCTCACCGCGCACAGAGAACTGTCAGAAGAGAAGTCCAAGTGAAAGAATGCAGCCACTTGGAGCCCCTCTGGAGTGCTCTCCCCGAGGGGAGGCCATGCTGCGGGGCCACCCGCACTCAAATGCGTGATCGCACTCGAGGTGGTGCTCTGGGGAGTCTGAGAGAGAGTCACCCTTGGTGTCTCGGCTGGGGAACAAATGGCAAGGTCTTCTTTGAAGTGGAGAAAGAAAATAACTCCGACAAACAATGTGTGGGTGTGTGTGGGTGTGGCTGCCCACGGAGAAAGACGTGTCTTCTATATTTATATACCTCATCACACCACCAAGTTTTCTCTGTGTGCCTGGTGATGCCATCAACCAGGGCGGGTGTGCAAACCGCTGACTGGAAGGAAGCTACTTCAAGGTGGTCAGAACTCTCCCAGGCCCCCCACTCCCCATCCTAACTGACACATACCCAGGTGGACATGGGTACTTCTGAAATGGCTTTCTGTGTCTTCCACCTCCAACTGTTCTCACTGGTATGGGACCAAAGGCCCAACTTAGGGGTGTGTGGGGTGGGGCTTCCAGAGCTCAGGTTCTCATGGCAACAGGTGTCTTTGCCAGGGGAGGAGGAGGGCAGGCCTGAGCCCCTAGACCCAGACCCTCAGGGACCGATTTACATATTTCTAGGGTAAGGTGGGGAAGCAGAAGGCCTGCTCTCTGGTCACCGGTCTTTGCATCAGAAGGCACAGCCAAAGAGCCTCGAATGCTTGAGCTCCAGGTCTGGGAACTAGACCAGACTCCGCCTCTGGTTTCACACACAGCAGACTAATGAGGGCAGGGATGGAGCTGTGGGGAGTCTAGCTGGGGCTGGTCGTGGGCCATAGTGGTCCCTGGAGCTCCCCTAGCTTTGGCTCAGAGCCCCAGAAAGATGGTGAGAAATCAGGAGGTGGGGGCGGGGGGGATGCAACAGAACCATCGAGGCCACCAACAATCACCCCCTAAGGGAACTGGGGACATTGGGGAAGGGTGGAGAAGATACGAAGGTGGATTTCTCAACCATCTGGGGAAACCTCATGTTCTGCATCCCATATGTGAGCCCCTGCAGCGTTAAACCTGTGGGTTCCAAAGACGTAAGTAACCACAGGGCCGGAGGCTCTGGGATGCTAGTCACAGAAAACCCCCATCATCCTCGGGGCTATGGTCATCTTACTGGAGCTGGGAGGCCCAGGTACCTAAGGTCCTGAATTCTTTTAAGACTCCATGTTTCTGAAACTCTGGTTCCTGTCCCCCCACCCCGTGATTCAGGGCTCCTGGGAATTCTCGTCTAAGGGGCCCACCCCTTTGGGGCAATGGCATCCTCCACCTATTTCCACATGGGCTCTGTCATCTGCTCCTGCCCAAAACTGCTCTAAGATACCACACCCCGAGGGAGCCTCCTCCCGCCACATGCTCCATCTCTTTCCCTTGCCTCATCCCCACAGGGGCCACAGTGCCCAGCACAGTGCCTGGCACAGAGCAGACACTCAATAACAGCCAATGCTGTAATGGGCATGTGAAAAGGTTCACATTGAGGGAGCACGCTGGGGGCAAAGTGCAAAATACAGAAGCTGAGGCTGAGAAGGCGGCAACGGCCTGCCAGTCGGTGGCTGGCTCAGGACCTGAGTTCAGAGAGTGGTTCAAAGCTGGAACCAGGCCTTTGCTGGGAAACGGGGAACGAGAGGGGGCAGGGGAAGGAGCATGAGCAGGTAGATAGCTAAGCAGTTCCCAAATGTAACCACACAACCCCCCACCCACCCCCACCCCATGTCCTGTGACTCCTTGGGCCAAATTGCAATGAAAATGTTTCCAGTTTAGTTGCTGTACCCTTTTCTATCTGGGGGAAATCTCTTTGGTGGTGGGGGGTGTCCCCCCCCAGGTCCCCCTGGGATCTGGCTTCATGCCTGCAGTACTTGGCTCACACACTAGGTGGCAGTGCCCACCACCACTGCCACCAGTATCACCATACCTGACTCAGCCACATCAGCAATGTCCACCCCTTGCTCTTGTGCCATGAAGCCCAGGATGGAAAAAATTGCGAAGCCAGACACAAAACTGGTACCACTGTTCAGGCATCCCAGCAGCATACAGTCCCTAAGTTACACATATGTCAGGGAGCAAGTTAATTCACAGCACAAGGAAGCCACGCTCCCTACTTCTTTCTTTTTCTTTAAACATCATCATCATCATCATCATCATCATCATCATCTCTAAGGTGCACCAGGCCCCGCTGGGCTAACACTTGCCTGTACGAGTTGTACTTGTACTTGTTGTAGCTTCCCAGCGAGGTCATGGCCCCCAGGCAGATGGCATAGGAGAAGAAGATCTGAGTTCCAGCATCGATCCACACCTACGTGGGCACCGCGGGCGGGGAGGGGAAGGGGAGAAACAAGGGTCGTGAGAGAGAGCAGGACCTGTGGACACCTGGCCACCGGGTCCTGAACGGCCTGGGGGTTGGACCTCCCAAGGCGTCACACTGCACCTCTGCCCCAGGGCCCCAGGGAAATGAGGTGGTGGCATCCTCTCGGTGAATGGAACCGGAACCCTCCTGGTGGAACCCAAGGCGCCTTTCTAGACCGTGCTGAGCCACAAGGCACCCCTGAGGTCGGAGAAACTACCCAGTCATTTAGCATCAGGATTGAGGCTGGGCTTGGCGAGCAGGTAGTTCCAACCCTGGGAAAATACTTCCTGGGGAAGGAAATACCACCCTCTGGGGCTCAATGTTCACATCTGTAGAACGGGCTCCATTGTCTTGCCTCCCCAAGCTATTCCCCAGGTGGTGGGAAGACGTGCCGTGGTGCACCCAGACGTCAAGGCTGCTATTTTTACTGCTAGTGTCTAGGGATCTCCGGGATGGAAGGGGAGGGATTCCCTACAGATTACACACCGAGCTGTTCTCCAGAGCCTTCGCTACATAGCTCCTGATGACCACCTACTGCCTTCCCAGCTCTTCTTTGATGCAGCCAGCCAGCCTGCCTCCTTGCCTCCTCCTCCATAGGGAGGTTGGTGGAAGGGGCCCTGACTAGATATACAGGACCTTGGGAGGCAACCATAAAGTTGAGGAACCTGGGGACAAAAGGTCCTCCAAACAGGTCGCTATCAGCTCTCCGGGCTTAGAGCAGAGCACCAGTAGGAACAAGTCATGTAGATCTGCCCCTCAACCTCTCAAGGGGTCATTAACCACGAATTCTGCCCTTCTCAGACTGCGGCAGGCAGAGGTGGGGCCCAGCTCCTCTCCCTTAGCAGGCGCAGGGCCTCAGGTAGATGCTGTTAACTGGCCAGCCGCAGGAGCTCTGATATTAAAAGACATCCCCACCACCACTTGCAGCCCCTTTGGGAAGGCCTGAGGCTCCTGGGAACAAGTGCTCCCACCACAGACCCAAAGGAAAAATACCCGGGCGACAGCCTCGCTCGCCTGCACGATGCCACCAGCCACCCTCAGCACTCACCCCATCCTGCACTAGCTCGGCCCTGAGTGGGGAGGACAGGCAGGGTGCCCGGCCCACAGTACCTGGGGGTCCTCGAGGCGAGAGATGTTGGGGTACAGATAGAACTTGATGCCGGCACTAGCCCCTGGCAATGTGAGTCCACGGACCAGCAGCACCAGGAGCATGATGAACGGGAACGTGGCTGTGATATAGACGACCTGCAGGGACAGTCAAGGATTCAGGCCTGCGGCGGACGCTCCCAGGCATGGGCTCTAGAGCTGGGCTCCCTGTGGCCAAACCTCTGCTCCACCTGGGCAGGTTTCCGGTGTCCTGCCTACGTGGTCAGTGAGCCCATTTTACCGGTGAGGAAACACACGCAGAGTAGGAGGAAGGTGTCCCTTGCCCTCCCCACCCCCACCAACCTCCATCTGCCCTGCACAACGTCTCTGTGCTTTGCACAACACAGGTGGACAGATGCTGGGAGAACCCAGGCCTCCCCTGCCTCACTCAGGACCCCACCCCTACCCCCAGCCCCAGAGCAGACTGCCCAGGCCACAATCCCTTTCCATAGAAACAAGCAGATAGGGGGTTTGGTAAAGGGCAAGAGGGATGCTCTCGGGGTCTGCCTGGGTCACCACTTACTGAGCGCTCGCTCTGTGCCTGGCCCTGTGCACATCTACTCTCCCTCGATCCAGCCTTCAGCTCTTTAAAGCAGGTTTTGTCATTGTTTCTACTGTGTTAAGTGAGGTGATGGGGGCCCCGAGGTATCACACGGCATGGAAGTGGCAGACAATAGCAAAGCAGAACGAGTAGTGAGCTGTTAGTCAGAGCCTTCTTTCCATGTCTGGCCATATATTTAATTCTCTCAACAGCCCAAAGGAGGCTGGGCTGCCAGCCTGCTGGGGCCTGAAAGCCCTTGGTCTCCTATTGAGAACAGAAGCTGGTTAGCGGCAAGGCCTTAAAACCCTAGTGTGCAGCTGTGGCCTGGTGGGAGGGGGGGGGGCTGAGGCTCCCTGAGCTCTGTCACTCTCGGGGAGACGCTGAGTCAGAGAGGACCAGTTGGGGCCACCTAGACTTGCCGATGATCTGTGCGCCTTGGTCTCAGCTTCCTGGTCTGTGCCATGGGGATAATGAGAGGACTCACCCTGCGTGACACACAGAGCGCGGCCCAGAAAACTCAGACATTACTAAACAAAACCCACAGCCACCAAGCAGCTTCTGTCTCACGATGGCCCTCTAGGGCACCGTAGAACTGCCCGTGAAGGTTTCTGAGACTGTAACTCTTCACAAGAGTACAAAGTCTCATCTCTCTCCCATGGAGTGACCGGTGGTTTCGAACGGCTGGCCTTGCGATCCGCAGCCCAACACAGAGCCCCTACGGCACCAGGGCTCCTCAGTCATTGCTGTTGCTGGGAACATCCTACATGGCTGAGTGGGGCCCCCGAACCCTGCCCTGGACACCCTTCCCCGTTTCCCCAGCCACCCTTCACTGTCCTCCTCAATTACCCCGCATGGGTAGACAGTGGTGGAGGGCGGGACAGGCTTCAGGAAGGCCTCTAAGGGCTGAAAAGGGGTGCAACAACACCAGCCTGACCTCACAGCCTGCCCAGCCCTTCCTGCAGACAGGCGCCCTCCCTCCCTCCACCAGTGTCCACCTCTGGGGCCCTGCCGGCTGTGACACACCCGGCGGCGACCGAACAATAGTGGCTGAAAGCGCCCCCATGCCAGTCCCCAGAGGATGGCCACTTCAAAGCCAGCTGGGCCCCGTGGGCTGGGCAGTGCAGGCTGCAGCTGGTGGCTCCCTGCCAAGGGCATAAGACAGGGGCTGGGAGTGCGGGCAACTCCTTGTTTTCACGTTTCTACCGTATTGAAAACAGACTCGTGTGGAACTTCCTATGTGTCAAGGGCACGGCATGTATCAACTCAGTTCTTTTACCTCCATTTCCCAGCGGAGGAAGCCAAGGTCCCAGAGAGGTGAC